GAGAGAGAGAGAGAGAGAGAGAGAGAGAGAGAGAGAGAGAGAGAGAGAGAGAAGACACACCAGAAAACAAGAGAGTTGAGTAGCTTGAGAACATGGAATAACATGAAATACCCATTTTGTCTAATTTGCAAATATTTTCAAGGGATATCATAAAAATCTGTTGATATATTTTTTTAGTGCTTTCTATTTCCTTTTAGAAATTTGGAAATAAAATTTTATGAGAACAAATTGCACCTCCCTATATTTCCCATCTCATTTAATAACACTAATTATTCTAGTCACTTAAGCTACAAATTAAATGTTAGATAGAAGATATTATTTTTCTTATCCCTCAGCTTTTACTCATAAGTTCTATCAATGTTACCTACACAAATATATATCTCAAAAATCATCCCCCTAACTACAGTAATACATAAAGTATGGCTTCCAGTATCCAGAAACTCTGAATATTCTGTGGGAAAGATAGAATGACATTAGCCAGACCATTTCTATCCAATAAAATCCTGTCTTACAACACATAAATACTTTCTTCTAGGAGGTCTGGAAATAAGTGATGAAAAAAATTGTAAAGAGAGATAAAACAATCTTATAGTGCTTTTTAGCCTTCAGCCAATATCAAAATACTTCCCTTTTTCAATAATAAAATTTAAAAATTGTTTTCACTTTTTATTTTTCAAGTATCCAAAGATTAATTTAAACATTTCAAAATTAAAATATGCTTGATTACAATAGATTATAACAAATTAATTGAAATTGTATTTGTCCTAGCTTGATATAATAATCATCACATAATAATCATCTCATTAAACATTATATTATCCATATTCCCAGCCATGATAGAATCCCCTTATTGTTATTCAAATATTATATTCCATTAAAAATTAATCAACTGTGTCATTTTACATGTATATATTCCAGAGATATATAAACAGGGAAATAAACAACAAATATTTATTTTTCTAAGTTCCAATTTCATTAATTGAGAAGAGCAAATATTAATAACAAAAGGACTATATTAAATATATAGATCTCCAATTTATTATCTAAAATAACTTGAGGGCAAAATTATATCTTTCTGTGTTGTTAAATTTGCAACCTTTTAAAGTTGACTAAATCTGATTGGTGGTAAGTTTAGAAATATGACATGATAGAAATAAGTTATATAAATAATGTATGCTTTCCCAAACGGTTAGTTCACTGTGATGATATTTTGCAATGACAAATGTTCTGGTAGTAATTCTACAGAAAGGGGAGGGAATGCAAAACTTCTGAAAACTTTGGATAAGATAAATTAGTAAGAGAAACAAAATAATAAAAAACAACTCTAAATAATCTGATCTGAATACTTCTCAGACTCCACCAATGTTTTATAATGGAATTCTCATGGTTATGTGAACACAAAAAGAAGAACTGCGAATTCAAGTATTCAAATTTGGGAAGTTTTGTGTTTTATAAAATAAATTTAAAAATCACTTGTGAAGTGACAATTGATTAATTTTTAATAAGAGATTTATATGATTTTCATAGAAAATATGATCATGTAATGATATAAGAATGTTACAAGAATATATGCACATATTTATATTATAAATATTATAATATTGTGTACAGAAAAAGATTGATTAACCTGAAATCAATTAGTTATCTCAAGCATGAAGAGAAAATCACAGGTTAAAGTAGCACAGAAATAAGTTTAGAATTAGTAAATACATATTTAAACCAATCTCTTATTTTTTTCTGCAGCATAAATCACAAACCTTTTCATGATCTCTCTAAAGCACTGTAAGGTCTTCAGGCATCAATAACAGTAACTACTGTTTTGCTAAGGCAAAAAGGGGGACAAATATTAGTTTTCATATAGTTCCCAATAGTACAATTTTACACAAGGTATTGCAAAATAACCTCAATGGCTATGGAATTTTAATTAAGTGAAACTCATATCCTAAGCATTATGTTTAATTGATGCCTATGAAACTATGCTCATATGTCAACATATGTCATGTGTCATAAAGCATATATCATAAAAAATAGTGTGAACACTTGAAAACAATTGAATCAAAATGGGATCTCCACTGTATATTTAGAAATATATTTCAAACTGTCAGAATCAGTATTACTCACAGAATTACTTAAAAGTCATTATCAATAATCATCTTGGAGTTGAAAATAATGAGAAAAAGCAAAAACACTGTGGGGGAAAAAGGCTGGCATGATTTAAAAAGAGCAAACTATACTTTTGGATCTTCAACATGTCTTCAGGCTAGACTTGGAAATTTCTTAATTTCATAGCTAATTGGAATGATTCCTATTTAGTTCTAAATTTAAAAATAGTTATGATGGGATCTGTCCGAGATTTTTTCAGTACACAGCTCTCATTTTAACTACTTCTTATTGGTCTTTTAACGGCTTTGCATAGGCATGAGTTTAAGCATGCAACACTTTATGGACACTAATGTGATGATTCACTAAGAACCCCAGCATTGTGCTCTCTCTAAAGGATACCTAGTTTTCAATGTCAATTTGCCATCCAAGTCATGGGAGATACACGATCATCCTCGTGGTCTATAGACTACTATGTATTAAATACATTTGTGAAAACACCAAAGATAAGAAAGGGAAATCAGTTTTGTAAATCGTATTAGTTTTACACATATTAAATTTAGCTTATGAAAGAGCATTTACATTGCTATATATTGGGAAATAAAGGCAAAAACACCAACAATGGGAAAACATGGTTTGGACTCCAGTAAAGTCCTAGCTGGGGATTAGATTTATGAGTCAGCTGTTAAACAAGTAGAGAGTAAACATTAAATTAGAGAAATAAAAAAATAAGAGCAAATAAAATGGGAAAAATAGGCAAAAAGAAAAAAATGTCAAGTGAGAGTGTTTTGAGAAGGAACAGAGTTCATATCATGTGATTAGTCCAAAAGGAGAGTGCTGGTGACCCTTGCATAATTTAAACAAAGTAGTGTAGAAAGGGTCTAGAATGTAGTTGATGAAGGGATAGAGAAGAGGACCGGCCTAGTGAGAGTAGGTGGTTGGTGAGGAAATGGAAAATGTTCAAAGGGTTTTGTCCAAGCGGAGGCAGATGTGTAATAAACGTGTACTAAAGATAAATCTTTAACAGGAGGAGCCACATAAATGTATTTCCCATGTAAGAAACTCCCACATTCCTTAGCCAAGTGCTAGGTACAAAGTAATTTGCTGATTGAAGGGAAGGAAGAGGGAGAGACTTGAAAAGATTTAAGGTGTGGAGTCAAAAGATTCTATTTAAGAATGAAGGAAAGCTGTGGTTTTGTCTAAACTTTGCTTAGAGATTATAGACATATACAACTTTATTTAAACCCTGGACATTTCCTTGCATCTTCTAAAACTAACCATTTATAATTCATTTTTACCATTACCTTTTCCACCCTTTGACAGTGAAGTAAGATTGGTCAAGTTTCAATCACATTTTCTGTCCTCAAACTGTTTCTTATTCTTTC